CCCGAGTTTGATACCCGGTACCCCCCCCCAAAAATAAAAGAATTTGGTACCAGTAAAAAAAAAAAATCCATTTAGACCAATGGATAGAAGACCCAGAAATAGCATTGTACATCTTTAGCCATCTAATCCTTGACAAAGAGACTAAAAACAAATGCTGGGAGAAAAGCGCCTTTTTATCAAATGGTGCTGAAAAAACATGCAGAAAAATAAATCTAGACCTATATCTCTCACCTTACTAAAAATCAAATGAAAAATGAACCAAAGACCTAAATGTAAAAACAGAAACACTAAATCTGCTACAAGATAAAATAGATAAAGCTCTTGAAGACACAGGAAAGGACTTTTTCTGAACAGAACCCCAAAAGCACAAGAAATAATACTAAGAATCAACAAATGAGATTATATCAAATTAAAAACCTGCATAGTAAAGGAAACAATCAACCCAGTGAAGAGAATCTACAAAATGGGAAAATATTTTTGCCACCTACTCCTCCAACACAGGATGAATGTTTAGAATATATCAAGAGCTCAGAAAAATTAGACTCTAAGAAACAAAAGACTCAATTAAATGGGCAACTGAAATGAATAGACACCTCTCAAAAGAAGTAAAAATGGCTAAAATACATGAAAAAGAAAATGTTCAGCATCCTTGACCATTAGATAAATGCAAATCAAAACAATATTGAGATTCCACTTACTCCAGTAAGAATGGTTATCATAGAGGACTCAAAAAACAATAAATGTTGGTGAGGATGTGAGGAAAAGGGAACACTTCTGCACTGCTGGTGGAAGTGGAAGCTAATACAATCACTATGGAAATCAGAATGGAGATTCCTCAAGAAAGTAAAAATACAAATTCCATTTAACCTAGCTATACCTTTCCTTGAAAGAGTTAAAGTTGTCATATTATAGTGACACATGTATATCCATATTTATAGCATCAGAATTCACAATACCCAAATTATGGAAGTGGCCTATATGGGCATCAATAGATGAATGGATTAAAAATGTGATATAGGGCTGGGGATTTAGTTTAGTGGTTTCACCACCTGCTGCGCAAGCGGAAGGACCCGAGTTCGATCCCTGGCACCAAAAAACAAAACAAGACAAAAGTGATACATATATATGTACATATATATGTATATATATATATGTACATATATATGTACATATATATGTATATATACATATATATGTACATATATATAGTTAGTTAGTTAGTACCATTCAACCATAAAAAAGAACAAATTTGAGTCATTTGTAGGAAAATAGATAGATCGCTAGGCCATAATGCTAAGTGAAGTAAATCAGGGACAGAAGGTTAAACATCTCATGGTTTCTCTTATATGAGAAACATAAAACATAAATAACATAAAGAGTAAAATAAGGAGAAATTTTGGAAAATAAAATAAAATAAGGAGAAATGGTGGGAAACAGAGAGGCAGACTTTTTGAAGATAGGAAGATGTGGGGAAGGGTAGAGGAGGGTAGAAGAAAGGGGAGTTAAAATGATCAAAATGGGGCCAGGGATGTAGCTCAGTGGTGCCATGCCTTCCTGGGAAGTGCAAGGTCCTGAGTTCGATCCCCAGGACAAAAAAAAAAAGAAAAGATCAAGGTGCTATATGTAGAGGTACCAATTCCCCAAAACAAATGTAATTGTTATGTTTCACAAACATGTATTAATTGAAAAAAATCTCAGGGCCGGTTGGCCCAATGTAGTTGGGGCAGAGTCCTGAGTACGTGCTGGGTGCAGGGAAGTGTGAGCCAGCAGCAGGAGACAATAGTGGGCAAGGCGGAGACCCAGGTCACCACTGGACAGCCCGAGGCTGGCATCTGCCCATCCTTCTTTAAAGTGGGAGGCTCATCATGTATGACAGATGTCCATCTCCTTCCAAAAGAAGCTCCAGTCAGTCTGGCCCCTCCAGAACCTGGCCCCTCCTCGCTCTATCCAGGCCCATTGGCCTTCTCATACCATGATGGGCCTCCAGGCTTTAGCATCCTCTGTTCCCCAGACCTGAATGCTTTTCCTCTCCATATTTATGAGTTCTCCTTCTTTTAAGTTTCCTCAAAGATCACCCCCCAAAAATACCTTCTCTCCCCACCCTATCAAAACTAGCAACCCATCCCCATCTGTCCTCTCACATTGTCTTATTTTTCCTCATGGTTCACCACTACCTGATCTTATATTTGGCTTGGCTTTGTGCATCTCCCCAGTAGAATGGAAACTCCATGAGGACAGGAGTTTACTGCTATATCGCCAGCCCCTGGGACACAGTATCCAGGAAGAGCAAACTCAGTACATACTTACTGGGTGAATAGATGAATGTTTGGCTGATTTCTGGCACCACAATTTTCTAGCTTGTGTTGTTGCTTTGGACAAGTCATTTCACTTTGAGAAATTTCCAATGCAAAAGATACCAGGCACCCATCTCATAGATGTACTGTTTCATTTAAATAAAACAGATGGGCCGGGGATTTAGCTCAGTGGTTTCGCCACCTGCTGCTCAAGCACAAAGACCCAAGTTCAATCCTCGGTACCAAAAAAAAAAAAAATACAATTACCAAAAAAAAAAAATACAATCACTAAATAAAACAGAAAGCGATTGAAACTGATGCATAATGGGTCACTAGGTGCTGTGTTTTGGATGTGTCCTCCAAAGGTCTAGGTATGAAAGGCATGGTCCCAGGATGGTACTGCTAGGAGGAGGTTAACAGGGTGTGTCCTTGAGGGGTCTGTGAAACTCCTACCCATTCCTCTCTTTTGCTTCCTGGACATGAAGTGAAGTTTTTGCTCTGTCATAAGCTCCTGCCCTTATAAGCTGCCTCACCACCAGCCCAAAACATTTCAAGGCCCACTGATCATGAACTGAAACTTCCAAAACTATGAGCCAAAAGAATCCTTTTCTCTTTAGAAGTTGATTGTCTCAAGGATTTCATTATAGTGACAGAAAGCTAACATACTAGGGTTATCCCCAAGGGTCTCAGCTGTCACCTGCTCACTGTGAGGCCGTGGAAGTCAATGATCTTTCTGAGCTTCAGCCTACTTGCCTGTCAAATGTGGAAGTGAAGGCTCCTCTCTCCCATACAGGGCTTTTGCCAGATACCCAGGCAGTGGACCTAGAAAAGCACCTGGTAGGGAGCCTGACAAACAGCAGACCACTGCTGTGGTGCTGGAGTCTAGGATTTGGATACGGCCACACCCCTGTCTTAGTCAGTGATCTTGGAGAAGCAGCTTAGTGTTCCTGAGACTCAGCATCCTCACCTATAAAGTGGGAATAGTAATACCACCTTCTACACAGCGGTCCATGGGACCTGGGGAAGCTGGTCACCTAAAGGGTTTCTCAAAACTACAGGCTATGTACAGGACATGTGGGACATGTGGGAGGGCCCAGTGATGAGGAGAGGGAGCTCAACTACACAGAGCAGGAGGGCTGTGCCTGGTAGCAGCCGCAGGGTGAGCAGACAGCACGGAATAGCAAACCCCTCCCCAGCCAGGAGCCTGTGAGGAAGGCTTTCCTTTCCCTTTTCCTGTCCCTTCCTATTCTTGGGCCCTAAGGGGCCCTCTCTCTCTCCAGCAAGTCTCTCTTGATAGGAATTTTCAAGGAGGGGAGATAATAGCAGGACCCAGAGGAGGCATCTTCTGCCTCAGTTTCTCTCCAGCATTACCTGGAATACAGTGTCCCCTTGGATTGAAAGCCAAATGGAGGGGAAAACCGGAAAGTTTCCCGCCCCTATCCTGACTGCTCAGACCCGAATCTTGACTCCCTGTCCTTAGTCTGCTTTCAACCCTGGGGCAAACCTGGAAGAATGGGTCCTTGAAAGTCAACAATGCCACCTCTAACCCTGTAGCTCAGGAGAATTTGAGGAAAGAGATTGAGTCCTGAACTGACCAGGATCCACCACCTATATTCCCTTGTCCACCCTGTGCTTAGCAAAACACAGATGTAGATACACAGATGACTCACTCAATGAATCTCTACACCACAACGTCCAAGAGACGTGGTGTTTTTTTCTGTTTTTGGTCTGTTTTGTTCTTTGGCGAATTCCCAGTTCCCAGAAGCATGGCTGGCACTTAGTAAGTGCTTAAGAAATACATGTTGAATGGATGGACTCATCAGTAAGTCAGTGAATGAGGTACTGAGTCAGTGAATTACTAGATGTGAAGTTCCCCATGGGCTGAGATTTTTCCCCCATTGTGCTCTCTGATAAATCCCCAGGTCCTAGTATAGAGTCTTGGTGCAGAGAAGGTACTAAGTAAATGTATGTGAACAAATGACTGCCTCAGTTATTGAATCAGCGATGCATTAGCATGTAATCTCTCTGAGGGTAAAGATTTTCATTTGCTCTAAGGCCACAAGCTCAGTGAGCAGAACCGTGACTGTTGCATATTATTGAATGAATCTGTGAATGAATGAATGAATGAATGAATGAATGGGCAAGGCTCCAGCCCTCAGTGCAAAGACTAGAGACCAAGAAAGATGAAACACAAAAAAGTCTCCCTGCCCCAACCTGGCCCCCTAGGCACCACTCGCCTTGTGTTTTTTTAAATAATTGTTGGTTGGTTTTAATTGTTGAGGCAGTAATACTTGGTTCATGAAACTGCAATATACAGAGAGGTGAAATAAATAGCTTATATATATATATATAATATATATAATATAGCTGGTTTTAAAATATTCCCTTATCATTGGTGTACTAGGTCACGTGAGTCACGGAAGGTCCATAGCAGCATCCTCCAGAACTGTGAGCAATGCAGGGTCACCATGATTGGACGAGGCCGTCTGTCGTCAGAAGGTCGAGGCGCGGAGAATTCCCAGGGCACGCCTTCCCTGCGCGGTGTCTCAGGACAGCTTGCAGCGGACAATAAATAAATGACTGCAAACCAGAGAGTGATTTTTGTTGGAGTTTTGGGGCAAGGATAGAGGATTGGGAACGTTGAGGGGGGAGTTTATTAGGGATAGAGGGTACTACTTTCTCTTTGTCTTTCTTTTTTGTTCTTTACTCTCTCTCTTTTTTTTTTTTTTTTTTTGCTTTTAGAACCTTTGGGAAAAAGGACTTTGGTTTCTCGAGTGTTGGTTTCTTCATTCAAGTCCTCCTCTGGGGACAAGTTTGGAGCTGTCTACTCCTAGAGAGAGGCAAGCACCTATGGGCTGACAAGGGTCCCTTAGTGAGTCTTTTGTCACTGGGGGTTTCAAGTCAACAATAAAATTCTTATCATCCCCCCAAGAGTTTTGGTTCAGTTTTTCTCTTCTTTTAAACACAATGTACAAAAATAGAGCTTCTTCCTTATTTTTCATGTAAAAATATTCCTCTGATGCAGTTCTCTGGGAGTGTAAGTGTGGCCGGACGGCCTGCAGCAGCCACCAGGGCACCTAGCCGGGATGCGTGGGGCGGATGCGCCGAGACCGCTTGGTCACCGTCGTGTACTTGAAGGGCTTCTGCAGCTCGGCCTGTCCCTTGGGGTAACGCTTCATGAAGTGCACATCCTGCTGGTTCTCCCGGGTCTTGGGGCCCTTTCGGGGCTTCCCCTTCTTGGTGAAGCCCACATACCAGCCTGAGTACTTGGCCGACATCAAGGCTGTGTAGTTGTTCTCCAGAACCTTCTCGATGAACACACACTCCTTGCTGGTGCCATCGGGCTGCAGGGAAAAAAGGAGCCATATTAAAGAAGAAATTATTCAGTAATTCTTGTTAAAGCACGGGAAGGCTGATGTCATTCAGGACCACTGTGACAGATACAAGGACCATAGCAATAGGACTGTGCAGTGACAGGAAAAGGTTGGACTCAACTCCCACCACAGCATGGGCAAATGAGAGTTTACAACCAAGGAGCAACAAGAGAGTCACTGGGTGGAAAACAACCAAGAGGGAACATTACCAGAAAGGGGGAATCTGGCTAAAGCAACCTAAGATCAGATATTAAGGGTGCAGTATCCTTGCTAAACTGACTTAGCAGGGTTTTGCTGAAACTAGATTTGACAAGGAAGTACACAGATGAACATAGATGAACTTGACTAAAGTCTGGCCAGAGAAGAGTCAGGAGAAGGTGATAAAGGGAACAGCAGGGATGAGGGAAAGCACCCTATGGAGAGAACATGGGCAGGTGAACAGGGCTGGGCAGCACAGCAGAGAGGGCTTAAAGTGAGCTGTTCACTTCTGTGGAGTGGCCTTTTGTTACTGGCCCTTGCATCTTTCCCCACCCTCCAATTAGGTAACAGACTCCCACTGTCATTCAGGATACTACTCCTTCCCCACTCTCCTTCCTCAGAGCCAGGGACTTCACCTTATCCCTACTACAGAGCCCCAGACCTGGCCAATCAAAACATTATTTCTTCTCGGGTTTCTGTGACTGGTTCGCAAGTGGACATGTGACCCAAACCATCCAATCACAGTGTTCCTTGAGGCCTTTGTATAAGTGACCTTCAAAAACATAGGCAGATTCAAATTTAAGGAGTTTGTGAGGCTAGAGTGGAAGCAGCCATTTTACTACCATGCAGGGAAATCCTGTCTGATAGCACTGCCAACATGAGAGAAGCAAAGCCAAGAGGAAGAAGGGGAGAGAAACCAAGTTTTGGTCACATCTTTTGGGCTCTAGAACCAGCCACATCTGGGGCTCAAGTTACCTCACCATTACTTGAGCCAATACTGTCTCATTTCCTTTAAGCCAGTTGATATTGTGCTCTGTCACTTGCAAAAGAAATGAGTTCTGACAGATTTGCACAAAACCTGACATTAATTCAGCTACTCGACTGCAGTACAACTCCACCGTGATGTAGTTAAATGTAAATTACATTTACTGTAATGTGGGATGTGGCACATTTTAATACTTGGTATGAAATAGGATGAAAGCTTCCAAAAATAAGAGATCTAGTGTGGCCGAACTCCAAACTCTTGATTCTGAGATCTTGGGCTCCTGAGCAGATGTGTGAACTCTCTTGGGAGACTAGGCATGGAGGGCAAGGAGCACTAGATTCGGAGTCAGATGCCTAATGAACTGTAATACTTCCTGTGTGACCTCAGGCTGGCTGATTCCACTCTCCAAACCTCAGATTCCTCACTTGGCAACTGGGAACAATGGTTCTGTGCCATAGAGACATTGTGAGGAACGATCCTTATAAATTAGTCTGACACAGAGTAGGAACTTGCTACATTATTTTTGAAGAGCAGGTAGTTCTAAAAGGGCTGGCCTGCCTCCTTGGGTCTGCCTGAAAAAGGGTGGTGGGGAGATGAGTGGATTGCTCAATGGGGAAGAGTGGGAAACATACAGAGTTGGAAGGCCCAAATTAGCTGCACTTGAGTTTCCAACTAACATCTCCAAATTTAGGCCGGGCCCACTCCTTGTTCCGGATGGCCGCCCAGCCAAGTTGGAAGCCCAGCGGTCTGGATGTGTGTGGAGACGGAGGTGCAGGTTCCAGCCTTTTGTTTGAAGTGGAAAACGGGCTAGAGCTTCCAGGAACGTTCACCTTTAAGCAGAGGGCAAGCCTGGGCCCTGTAGACAGAGTGCTGAACTCTGCAAAAAGGGACAGGCTGGGTAGGAAAACACCCTTTGGAGGATGACATCTTTCAAGGAGGCTGCAGAACATGGGTGGGCTTGGGAAACATCATTGGTACCCAGAGCACAAAGTGGGTGGGGATGCAGTAAGGGATGATTGCGAAGAAAACCAGGGAACATGTGCCAGGCAGGTTGACAGAAAGGGTTTCTGGGCTCTGCATGCCCCACGGACAATTCTGGAAGCTGCCTGTTCAACCTGAGCCCAAGCTCTTTGCCTGCTATTGACAAAACAGCCCGAGCAAACTGAACAAAGGTTACACCATGCTGCTTACCCACCCTACAATACCTGCCACCACCTGGGAAACTGTTTTCATCCCTTAAGGCTGAGCTCTGTGGCTGCCTCCTCTAGGAATCCTTCCCTGGCTGCCATCTGCCTCCCTGGGAAATTTCTCTTCTTCCTCCAATACTCCATTCATGTACCAAGTTTTATTGGGCTCTCATACTCTATCTCCTGAACCCCCTGGGGACCCATCTCATCCCAAACTATGCTCAACTGAGCAATTCCATACCTGCCTGCCTCCTCCTTAGTCCAGGCACTTCCTTAGGGTCAGACTGCTTCCTTAGTTGCTCTATGGCTGAGCCAAAGACAGGGGTGCCTAGAGCATCTACGGTTAAATGACTAGGAGACTGAGCAGGATGAATACTGTAGGGGTAGCACATGAAAGAATCTACAAGAAAACAGACTCTGCCTTCTAGGTCCTTTACAAATGTCCCAGAGATATCCCAGGATGTCCCTGCTGTGGGACAAGCTGATTAAAGGGACAGAATGAGCTAAGGGCTAGAGATCTCTACCTATCCCACTTTGCTTCCCTAGATGTTTATTCAGTATTTATTGATTGTTGACCACAGGCAGACATTTCCACATCCATTATGTCATTTTATGGAAGAAAAGAGCCCAAAGAGGCAATAGGGCTTGTCCAAGATCATAGGGCTTGCAAATGGCAGAGCAGGGATTTGAACTTGCCCTCACCACTACAGCTCACTTCTTCTCTATCCAGTTTCTGAGAAGTCTGTGGGAAGATAAGGTGAGGAAGAACAGGTACTGCTCACCAAAACCTTTCACCTCCCCAGGTCCACAGAGCCACTATGGGCACAAAATGAGACTTTGAATGTGCAAGGAACTAGCAGTGTTCAGCACAGGTGCTCAGCCCAGCCTGGCTTGACTTCAGAGGCTGAGAAATAGGGCTTTGGCTTGGAATTCCCAGCACTCCAGAGTAGAGAGGGCCCCTTGGGAACCAACCACAGGCCTACGGAAATCACAAGTCCCCACCCTGAACTCAAGCAGGAGTGGGTAAGAAGCTAACAGGTCATACCTGAGTTTGACCTTCCCACTACTCTGTATGACCCTGCTGATCACCTGCAGAGATTTAAAATACACCTGTGATTGGCCCCCAGCCCCAGAAATTTTGACTCAACTGCTTCAGGCAAGCAGAAGCATCAATATTTAAAGAGGAAGTGACTATCCACCCTAGAACTTTGATGACTTAGTGGAATTCGACCCTCTTTCTCCCACTTCCGTATCCAACCTTCTTCTTTCCAAACTAGAGTGGCAGTTCTGTTTCATCTGAAGACTAAATCCTGATGACATTATCAGGCCACTAGATCGAGCCTTTCCTAAAACTGGACCTTTTTTAGCTATATAAGCCAAAAATAATTCCTCTTCTGCTTAAGGTATTTTGAATTTCAGTTATTTACAACCAAAGTGCTCTTAACAAAGAAGCTGGTGAGCAAAGTACCTTCTACCCTGAAAGGGTTCAATGCTCATAGCCCCCAAGAGGACTTGTTAGTGAGCACACAAGCAGGGGCTGATGAGAAAAATCTGATCTGGGTTGAGTCTCCAGGGAAAAATGTCTAGCACATGATGCCAGATACTCAACAACTCTTAAGGAGTAAGAGGAAGTACTGCCTCCTGGTGCAGGTGGATGTGGATTCAGAGAAGTGGCAAGTAACAGGGTAGTACCTGACCATGCAGGGGCTTGGGGACAGAGCAGGCGTAACTACAACCAAGGGCCAGGACATCTGACACAGGGTTGAATGCATGTGACCTACTCTGGCCAGAGACGTACAAGGCTGACACCAGAGGTGGGGCAATCCAAGGAAGCTATTCTTTTGCTCTCAGCTTCCAGGCTGAGGCTGAAGGTCTCCAGCGATGGAGTGACTCATGACCTAGCTTCAAAGGGGAGGGAACTAACATTTAACTAACATACTAAAGTGCCAGCATTACCATTCCCATTTTATAGATGAGGGCACTGAAGTTTGGCCAGATTGAGGCACCTTGATTCCCCAGCCTGACATGCATCAATCATTCTGGCTGGAGGCTGAGCGAGTCTTTAGAAGGTCGGAGCCATGTTTTCATTTCTTTGGTGCTCCTACTGCCCTTTGGCCAGACACGTGGATGGATGGATCCAGGATTGGTTCCCATGAGCTGCCAGACTGGTGGGGGATGCAGGCACTAGGACAGACTGACAACCCAGGGGAGCAGATGTTGAACAGAGGGAGGATGGGAGGAGGGCTGGGGGGTTCTTGGGCGGGGTGGAACACTGAGGGGCCAGGGAAGGCTGGAGGCTGTTGAAGGATGAGCCAGTAAATGGCACAGGGACAAAGAGAAGGATGGTCTCAGAAGAGGATGCACTGTGGGGAGACCCTGACGTCTCCATCCAGGGAATGGTGGCTGCCATGTGCCTGGGACAAGAGGCATAAGCACCAGGGAGGTCCTCCCAGCCTTGAGTGTCCCATCAAGGAGCATAGCCCTTCTCCACCAGGTAGGTGGGGCCCACAGATGAGTCTGGAGCTGGGTTGAAGTGCAGGGAGGCAGCAGGCTGGTCACTCTGTGCGTTAAAAAGCTGAGGAGTGGCCAGTGGGGAAAGGCCCAGGTAGAGAGCCCGTGACTGGGATCACACATACCAAGGTGAGGCGGCTGCAGCAAGTGTCTGGGAGGGTACGAGGCCAGAAGGAGGTGATGGTGGGATTTAGGAGGGGAGGGGACCCAGCCCTCAAGGAGGAGAATACCAGGATTAGGGCCTGAGTGGGCAGGGTGGGTGTGGGTGGACAGGCCAGCAGCCCAAGAGCCATGACTACAGCTTCAGGGGGCTAAAGAGGAAGCTGAGGCCAAATCGGGACAGGTGGATTTGGGGTGCCCTCGGTGCCCCAGGTCACCGGGAAGCCAGGAGCCGGGAAAGGGGGAGCCACGCGTGGAGAGGGAGGCAGGCAGGGGGGCGGGCCTGGCCCTGGCACGGTGCGCCAGCTGAACTGTCACCAATATTAATGACGGGAGAGAGGGCGAGGGGGCAGGAAATCGGAGCCGGCTCCTGTGGAAGCGGTGACTCAGCGGCCCGCCAGCGGTGGGCGGGAGGCGGCTGCGGCGGGCGGCTGGGGGAGCGGCCCGAGGGGACCGGGCTGTGCGCTGACGCTGACCCGGCGGTGGCTCCCTGGGGTCAGGATGCCGGGAACCGCGCCGGCGGGAGGGCGGGCGCGCGGCCTGGGCCCTGGGCACTGGTGCCGCCTGCGGGGTAGCAGGAGAAAGCGAGTCTCCGACTCAAAGCAGGTTGGGCCTGGGAGACCGCCCGGGCGGGCAGGAGAACAAAGCGCCTGACGCGGGACCCGGGCTGGGCTGCCACGAGAAACGGCCTGCCAGGCCAGGGGGACCTGCGCCCAGCTCCGGCCCGGCCCGTCCCCCACCCCACCCCCCGCCGGCCAGGCTCGCGATGACGGCGGAAAGTGAATCACTAATTAAAACCACTCCTTGCATCCCGAGCTGCGCTCTTCGGATTACTATTATTTTGCTTTTTGAGCAGCTTCGGCTGGTATGGGCAGTGCGGCTGCAATCTTCTTCCAAACTGCGCTTTGAATCTGCCTACCTCTAATGTGGCGGATGCTAATGTGGCCTCAGCTTTCCCATCTGCGAAATGGGAATGGTAGTACAGTACCAACCTCCTTGGATTATTTGGAAGCATTTTTAATGTCTGGAAGAAAGTAAGTGTTCAGTGAAAGGAAGCTGTTACCATTTGTGTGGCAACTCCCTGGCCCATGTTCCTGGCCTATGGGTATGGGATAGTGGGAGACAGCTAAGAGTTAGAGGGATCAAGAAATCAAAAACAGCTTTATCTCCCCTTACTCCACCAAGGTGTAATGAGCATAGATAATTCCCCAGGACGTGTCCCCAAACAGGAGAAGCCCATCTCCTCTGGGCCAACTCTCCCTGTCCAGGTAGGCCCCCGCCAGGTACACAAGTTGAATGTTACAGGAGTAAGAAGAGGCCCTGCAGAGAGAAGGGCACAGAAAGCGTGACTTCGTCACACCAGTAACACTACTCTTGCACACCCAAAGGAAACAGGTGTGTGGCCTTCACCAACGAGCACCCCAGAAGAAAGGAACACTGAGAAGCAGCACGGTGAGAGCCCCAGAGCCCCCAGCGGGTGAGTCCAACCCCTACCCCACCCTGTCCTCATTTGTTACTTGCAGCTCTCTTGCCCATTCCAAAGTAATAAAATCTTCCTGAAATGCTAGAACCATGAGGCCCAGCACTGTTGAGGCATGGCAGGGTGCTGCAAACCCCTGGTGATTGTTAAAATGATCGCTGCAGCCACAGCCCTTGGCCCACCGGCTCCCTGTTCCCAGACATCAAGGACACGTGGACAGGTTGCCCTAGAGCCCCAGCAAGCCAGAGTTCCACACCTGCCAAGAGAGTACAGGGCCCCGCATGCACCCAGGGCTGTTGCCCTAGACACCCTGGCCAGGGTAGCTGCGGGTGCCAGGCCAGAGGAGGAGGAGGCAAAGGAGATTATGCTGGGGACTGATCTCTCACACATGCACACAGCACTTGCTCACTCACCAGGCCTGTTTGCCAGGTGGGACTGACGGGACCTATACATGCTGTTCCAGATCCCTAGAGCAATCTCCTGGGAATCCAGGCCATCACTCACCTTCCCCACGAGCTTGCCTTTTCGGTTCATACACAGGTAGAACTCCGTCTCTTTGCCCTTGATCCGGACTTGACTACCGAAGGTGTCTGTCTCCACTAGGAGCTGAGCTTCGAAAGGTAGAAGGAGAATAAGATACATTTTTTAACCAGGGGCAGTAGCTTAGCCTAAAGGCTCAGTGACTCAAAAGGCTCCCTGACCCTAGCCCTGGTCCCCTCCCACCCCCAAAGCCAAGTGTAGGGGGCACATCTGACAGAACCCGAGGGAGCACCCTGCCCTTCCAGCAGGGGGATGGAAGCTGCACCATACCTGTTCCCCTGTTGAGCCTCCTGGCTCCACTTGCATAAGCCAGAGAGCTGCAGTCGGGGGGGGGGGGCGGGGGTCAGGTCTGTCCTTTGTGGCTAAACACCAGCAGCTATGTCTTCCTCCCCTCCTCACCCCCCACCCCCAACGCCATTCCCCAAGGCAGGACATACAACCAGACCAAAAAAAGAAAAGTACTACTCTACATGAAGGGAACAGACATACACATGCATGTGTATACACACACACACACACACACACACACTGCCTTTAGGACATCAAGCAGTTTCCTCCAAAAGTTCAGTCAGAGGTTCTTGCCCTGGGACAGAAATCTAGAACTCCCGCTCTTGCCCTCCTGGCACCTCTGCCCTGGCCACCTGAAGCAGGAAGACACAGGGAGGGAAGCCCTGGGAAGGGGGCTATGTTTAGGATTTTTCACTTCCTTTAATTGAGGCCTCCAAAGCTGGAGGGTTATGAACTTTGAAGAAGCCAAAAGTCCTGATGAGAACCTACTTTCCCCTCTTCCCTGGTAGGACACCCCATGCTAGACCATCCATGATGCACAGTGCCTCCCTCAGGTTGTGGGGGTCCAGAACTGGTCCCCTGAATCTCTGTTTAAAAGGGGGATCAGAGGATCAAAGGATGCCTCTCCCTCGATTAGGCATGCTGTGTCCAGATCCCACTCCCTCCCTCTGGCAGTCCACATTTTTCCCCAGTAGGTGTTGTGCGACTGAGTGACCCATGCACCTCTCTGAGCTCTCTCCTTCTTGGTCTTGAGTCTGGTTCCCCCATCACCACTTCCCTGTCCCCATAGCTACTTTCTTTGGCTTCTGCCCTTCCAGTTCTCACACTCCCTTCCCTGGCCCTCTGCTGCACAGCACCTGCCCCCCCACAACCCTCAAAAGTTTAATCTCAGCAACAAAGGACTTGCTTCTCCATAACAAAAATCACAGCCCCAAATTCCTGAGTACAGTATCCTTGGAGCCACAAAGAGTGTACCTTAGTGCCCCTAAAATGCACCAGGTATGATTTTAATAAAAAAATTTACAAATATAGACCCGGGTGCCCTGCTGTGAAAATTGAAACCATCTGGAACTCAAGACTTCCAATAATTAATCTAGCCCTCCTTTGACACTACTGCTAATTAAAATATGATACCCACCTTTCCAAGGGGGAAAAAAAAGAATTTACATAAAGTTTAAAGATCTAATAAGAATTTAGTAATTCTGGAAATAAGGGGAGGTACATTCTTCTCTCCACATTCCCCCCATCCCTAGTAAATAAAGAATCAGGAACAGTAACCACTTTTGAGATGGGGGCAGGTGGGCTAAGAGCCTTGATGTTCTTCCTGAATGCAAACCCCTGGTAATTTCCTCTGTTTGCTCCATTCCCAGGGCCAAATGGCACAGTGGCTCAGAGACTTGCTTCCTCTATCTTGTCACAAAGATGGAGTCAAGACAATTCCAGGAGCTTCTGTGAGGGCAGCATGTGCGTGGGAAAGAGCAAGAGCTTTGGAGTGTGTATCCCCAGCCCCTCTTGCCAACCAACCACAGGAGCCTGGACCTGGGTCTTTGCCTATAGCGTGGAAAGAATCGTCCTGATTCTCTAACAATGTCTGTGAGGATTATACAGTGGATAGCATCCAGTTCTCAGTGGTTGGAAGGGGAAGCTCGGAGACTTTGGTTTGAATTTCCTAAAAACTATAAAACCAAACTGTTTTTAAGGAAGGGAGGGAGAGAGAGAGGAAGGAAGGAAGGAAAAATAGAAAAAAGAGAGAGAGAGAGAGAGAAAAGAAGGGAAGGAAGAAAGGAGAAACCCCAGGTATGTATACAAGACTGGTCCCCCCCACACAACAGGTATCGCCCTCTGATCTGAACTTGCTTAGCTTTCTCCAGAGTGCCAGGCATACCACACCATCAAGTGCACCCGAAAATGCCCAGTGCCAGGTGCAGGGGCACATGCTTGTGATCCCAGCTAAACAGAAGGCTGAGGCAGAAGGATCACAAGTTCAAGCCCCCCCTGGGCAATTTGACAAGACCCTGTCTCAAACTTTTTTTTCTTAAATTCTTTTATTGGTACATTTTAGGTATACAGAACATTTACATTTATCACTGGGTGCTTGTACCTGTACATGATGTATCTTGGTTCTTATTTTTTCCCCATTCCCTGTGCACCCTTCAACCCCTCCACCCTTCCCTATTTACACAGAAGGTTTTATAATTGAAAGGGTTAGAGATGGAGCTCAATGGTAGAGTGCCCCTGGACCCCATCCCCAGTACTGGAGAAAGAAATACAGGAAGGAGGGAGGGAGAGGAAAGAGGGAAGGAATGTCCAGAGCCCGGGCTCACAGATCTGGCATTGCCATCCTAGGCTGCGTGACTTTGGACAAGCCACACCCCTATCTGAGCCTCAGGTTCCTTACCAATGCAAAAGGGACGGAAAAACCTTGTTCTGGTTCTCCCTGGAACTGGGAAGTACGGGCTAGGACAGGGGCAGGGAGGAGAGATGATAGGAGATGGGAGAGGCCATGGGACTGGAGCCCAGGACACCCCAAGTAAGTCCAAGGGGGAACTCTGCTGTCTGCTCCTCCCGCACATACCCAGGCCTCTTCCTCAGAACAGCTCCTGCTATGCACAAAGAGCTGCCTCCTCTGTGAGTGCCCTGAAACTGCAAATCCCCACTGGCTTGGGTGTCCCCATTTTCCAGTGCAGGCAACTGAGGTTCAGACTAGCAACGGAGCAAGAGGGGCTGACATCAGCACTGCCTGCAGTTTTCCGCCAAAGCCAGGCTCCAGGAAGAGGCCTCAGCTCTGGAGAAACCTACCTCCAAGTACAACCCCCAACACCCAGCAGCCGGAGCCACCACAGGAGGCCTGGGTTGTGCCAGAGCTGCCCAAAGGGCCTGGGTCTGGACAGCACCTCTGCCACCACATGGGGAGGGTTTGCACCAGCCTCTGCTGCACCAGGGAGCCAGAAGCTGGCTTTTCCCCACCCCTACCCTCACCCCCACCCGGACTGCAGCACACAGAGGAGCGACCTAGACTCTATTCACTGCATGACCTCATGAGGAGGGAGCCGGGCCAGAATTATGTAAAGTCTTTGGGGAGTAATAGCAGCTGAAGTTCTCTAAGAGATTGGTAGGGGGGAGGCTCCACCCAGGCCAGGTTTGTCCCAGAGCCTGCCTGGTCCTCAGTACCCCTCCCATGACCCAGGGCCCCAAGACGTAGCTCTCAGAAATCAGAAGCCTCATCTCAGTCCAGTCCTCCTGGTGGGGCCTGCAGCAGGCCAGGTGGAGTGGATGACACAGTCTCCCTCCCCTCTGGCCCGTGCAACTCAACAGCTGCCTCCCTCTGCCACTCTCACCCGCAGTGGTTTCCCCTCCACACGTCAGCCAGAGGAATCCTTTAAAAACACCAATTTAGGGATGGGGATTTAGCTCAGTGGTTCTGCTCCCTGCCTTGCAAGCACAAGGATCTGAGTTCAGTCCCCGGTACCAAAAAAAAAACCAAAAAAACCACCAATATAATTATGACTCTTCCCTGCTAAAAACCTCCTAGGGATCCTCAACTCAGAAGAAAATCTAAACATCATCTGACCCCTGCTCTCCCTACCTTCTTATATCCTTCACAGTCCCTCAGCCACAAGAGCCTCCTTGCTGTTTCTTCTCTAACACACTGAGCATGCTCCTGCCCCAGAGCCTTTGCACTTGCTCTTCCTGCTCCTGGAGGCTGCTTTGCCCACAGTGGTTTCTCATTTCCAAGGTGGCCACCCAAATGTCACCTCTTCAAAGAACCCTTCTCTGAGCACAGTAACACTGATACCACATTCCTAGTCCAGCCTACCCCATTCCCCCAAACCCTAATCCTCAGCACTCTTCTCCAGAACTGTCTGATCTGTGCTATAGTTGGGATGAGAGTCCCCTGAAGGCCCATGTGTTGAAGTTGGTCCCCAGCCTGTGGTGCTGTTGGGAGGTGATAGAACCTTGAGTTGATGGGGCTTAGTAGGAGGAAGTTAGGTCACTGGGCATGCCCTCAAGATGATATGGGAGGCCGGCCCACCTGTGTCTCTCTTTGGTCTTCTTGGCCACCGTGAAGTGAGCAGCTTCCCCTACCATGCATTCCCATCATGAGGTGCTGTCCTGCCACAGGCCCAAAAGCCATGGGCCAGCCAGATATGGACTGAAGCCTCTAAGACCATGAGCCAAAAGAGACCTTTCCTTTCTTAAAGGTGGTTAGCTTGGGAGTCTTGTTAGAGGAATGGGAAGCTGACTGACACCATTGGTTGCCCTTTTTTTCTGTCACCACTTACCAGAAGGGGAGCTCCACAAGGACCAGGACTTATCTGCTTATTCACAGTGATCCCCAGCACCTCACCCAGGCCTGGCTCAGAGCAGATGGCCAGTCAGTAAGTTTTAATATGTGCGCAAACAGCCTTGTGAAATAGGTATGGATTAGCTGGGTGTGGTGGTACACACTTGCAATCCCACCACTCTGGGAGGCTGAGGCAGGAGGACTGCAAGTTCAAGCCCAGCCCGGGCACCTTAGCAATTTAGCAAAACCCCTGTCTCAAAAAAATGAAAAATGTGCTAGGGGTATAGCTCAGTTCAATCCCCAGTGCTAAGAGAGATTGATGGATCGATTGATTGATGGATGGATGGAAGTGAAGTGACACATCCATCCAAGGGCACTCAGCTGGTAATGGCAGATAAGGGTTCAAATCCAGCCTCTCATTCTACACTCAGTGCCTTTAACCACTCTGCTCTCACCTGCCATTATTCCTGGCATTACTCACACCACTTGATAAAATCG